CAAGGCGCTGGGTTCTTGCAGGTGTGGATGTGGTCTGGATGTTGTCCTGTGTCCTGTGGTCTCTATTTTAGGAAGATTTTTCTTTGTTATATTTTCATAGCTCTATGTGTTTTTGGGAGGAGATTTCCACTGCTCTACTCATGCCGCCATCCTGGCTCCGCCCCCCTGCTTTCTTTTTTGTGTCTGGAGCCTTAAGTCTAGATAGAGGCATGAGTAACACTTTGCTCACACTCTTGGAATGGGGAGATATTATCAAGTGTCTTACGTTCCCTGTTGGAATTTTTGTCTTTTGGGTCGCAGGGATGTGAACACCACCATCATGGAGCTCCTGATTATGGTGTATGCATGTAAGACCTCTTGTGCCAAAAGCATCATAGGCGTAATTCCCTACTTTCCATACAGCAAACAGTGCAAGATGAGAAAAAGAGGCTCTATTGTTTCTAAGTTGCTGGCTTCGATGATGTGCAAAGCGGGTAAGAATGACAGATATTTCATGATTTACTGGGGGCCTGGGAATTCTGTTTTTACCTTAGAAATTGTAAAGCATGGTCTTAACTAAATTAGAATGCTGGACAGAGTAAAAATAGTCACATAGCTTTTAGAGGCAACTAGTTTATAATGAGAAAACAGCGCAGAGAATTCTCTCCTGTTCCCAACTCCCTAAAACACAGAGGTGATGAGAATAACTTATTTTTCCTAAATTCTTTGTTTAAAAAGTTATATTGAAATGACAGGTTATAATCATTTTTAAGTTGTTTTTAGAGGAGAAAAAGGCATTCAAAACCAACTACTCTAACACAGGAACTCTTTTTATTTTAGCCTCTTCCCTTTCCCAGGACAGATTACGTATTTTGTAAACCATATATATTACTTTGTATTGTACGTCCTAAGTGTCTCTCCCTTGTTTCTAAAATACCTTCAGAATGATAATGCAGTTCGTGTGCAAGAGTGTGTCTGCTTGTAGAAGACACCTATCACAGAGTACTTGCACAGAGGTAAAAGAATAATAGGTCCCCTGTCCCTACACTTTAACAGACACTTACTATAGAATAAGTTTTTTATGTGGCATTCCAAGGAAGGCAGAAACATAATTTGATAAACTTGACCCCCAGCAACCTCAATGGCATTGAAAGGTTGGGAACTAACTGGTAGCTGGCTGAAAGGAGCAGGCTGGCTCCCTGAGCCTTCAGAAAGGCTCAGCCTTTCTAGCCCTGCTCCTGGGCTGGCCACCAGGCTCACTTTTCTCCACTTTGGGCAAGCTTTGCTTTTTAGAATCTTCCGGTTGAATTTTCCTTATATTTTTCTGCCGATCACTTGAAATATCTTTTAAAGAGCTGTGGGGGTGACTATTCTTCATTTTCTCTAGTTGCAGGCCTGTGCAGTTGTCATACTATCTTAAGACATTTGTCTCACTATGATTTGCCTTACCTATAAGAAAACTTCAAGGAGGTGTAATTCTGATAGAAATTTCAGAGACATTTCTTCATTGCTGTTATCTTTGCTACTTTAAGACTTCAAATTGATGTGAAAATCGTGTATCTTTGTGTAAGAAAAACCACCCAGTCTTTCTCTTCTGAGTAGGAAACTTGGTTCTCTGACTCCTGTATGTCTCTGCTACTCACACAGCACTTCACTTCTGACACTGCTGATCACAAAATATACAGGGTTTTTTGCCACACCTAGCAGTTCTTCACACCACCAGCTGGTTGTTGTATAATTTAACTCAGTTTTGACACTGTCTGCCTGAGATACCATCAGATCCCACAGAGTAAGGGCTGAGTCCCACAACACTGCCTTCCCCTTTGAGATGCCATTTACAAGTCCAGGTTGGCACCTGTGCTTCTGACCATTCAGCTATAAATCTGAGTTTCCATGACTCCCTCCTTGGGTTGGATTAATTTGCTAAAGCAGCTCACAGGGGAAAATATTTCCTTACTTTTTACCAGTTTATTATAAGAGCATATGATAAAGGACACAGATGAACATCCAGATGGAAGAGATGTGCCGGGTGAGGTGTGTGGGAAGGGGTGTGGAGTTTCCATGGTCTCAAGGTGTGCCACTTGCCCCGCACGACCGAGTGTTCAGTAATCTGGAAGCTCCCTGAAACCCGTGCTATTGGAATTTTATGGAGGCTTCCTCACGTAAGCATGGTCAATTATTAACTCCATTTTCAGCTGTTCCCCCCTGTCTGGAGAATGAGAGGTGGGCTGAAAATTGTAAGCTTCTAATGATGGCTTGGTCTTTCTGGTGGCCAGCCCCCACCCAGGAGCCACCCAGAGTCACCTCTTTGGCTCAAAAGATGCCCCTAGTGCTCTTGTCACTTAGGAAATTACAAGGCCTTTGAGGAGCTCTGTGTCAGAAGCCAGGGCAGAGACCAATGTGTGTGTTTTCTATTTTCTCACAACATTGTACTAAAAAATTTGAGAAATAAAGATGCTGAGTTTTTTTTAATAAGAGTATTTTTTAAATAGTAATTTGTTAAGTTATATATAGTATTTTACATAGTACTTGTTTCATTCAGCACAACTGGTTATAAACTATATGTGTTTGTCTCCTTTACTTTCAAAGGTCTAACTCATCTTATTACTATGGATTTACACCAGAAGGAAATACAGGGCTTCTTCAATATTCCTGTTGATAATTTAAGAGCATCTCCCTTCTTATTACAGTATATTCAAGAAGAGGTGAGCTAGCTCAAGCTTTTTTAGCATTGTGTTAACATTCTGTTAAAGGTTAAAAAATAAACTTCCATTTCCTTGGGCTGGGCTGTCCATAAGGGGTCAAGACTTGATACATTGTTTAAACTGCTTGTAAACTTGATAAATGTAATTCAGTGTATTTAAAAATTCTTAATCTGTGATTTATTTCTTTTGCTAAGCTCTTAAAATTGCTTTTTTTCTCTGGGCCTCATGTATCTAGAATTGACTGAGTGATTGTGCTGGCCCTCTTTTATGCATCCATCCACCTACCACCTCATCTCTCTGTCCATCTATCTGTAGTAGTCAGCATCTGTGATCCTACCACTCAACAGGAAAACTAGAATCATCATAGTAACTTCCATATACTCATGTGGTCCTTCTTGGTCCCGTTCCCCTGCCTCTTTTCACATGAGAGGACCAGGATCCTGGATTTTGTTTCATTTTTCTCTCAATTTCTTTTTTGTATAGCTTTATGTCATATTATATATAAAATTGAAAGATAAAAGGACACCAAAAATATGTGCATATTTTTTACCTTTATAAAAGAAACAAATTGTGTAATCTTTTGGGAATTTTTTGCTTAATGTTACATTATAGGAAGATTTATCCCTGTTGTGTGTCACAGTTCATTTTGGCTACTGAGAAATATTCGGCGTGCAGCTGTCTTCACAGTTTATTCATAAAGGTTTTGCTATTGTGATAGTCCTCCTGTGAACATTCTTGTATTTGTCTCCTATGATACATAAGCAAAAATGTGTCCTGGTTATATACCTAGGGTAGAATATCTGGTGGTATGGTACATGTACATTTAGTTTTCTAAAGCAGTTATGCCAAATTACATTCTTTCATCAATGAATTGCATATCCAGTGGATCTATCTTTGCTTCAGTACTTATATCACCAGAATTCAGACTTTTTGCTTAGCTTAATGCTTTTGAGGTTCCTCAGTGCTGTAGCATGTAGCAGGACTTCATTCCTTTTGGTGGCCAAATAATATTCTACTGTATGGACCCACCCCTATTTGTGTATCAATTCATTTATGTTTTCTTTAATTTCTTTTGGCCATGTTTTGTAGTTTTCAGTGTACAAGTCTTTCACTTCCATGATTAAATTTATTTACAGATATTTTAGTCTTTGAATGCTCTTGTAAATGGAATTGTTTTCTTAATTTCCTTTTGGATTGTTATTGTTGGTGACTAGAGACAAAACTGATTTTTGTGTGTTGATCTTGTATGCTGCAACTTTGCTGAATTGATTTATTAGGTCTAATAGTTTTTTGTTGTGGTATGTGGGTTCTTTAGGGTTTTATATATAGGTTTCTACATATAAGATTGTATCATTTGTGAGTAGAGACAGGTTGACCTCTTCCTTTCCACTTTGGGTCCTTTATTTCATTTACTGATCTAATAGCTCTAGTTAGGACTTGCAGTAAGACATTGAAAGTTGCAGTGAAAGTAGGAGTTCATGTTTTGTTCCTGATCCTGGGGCAGAGTTTTCCGTCTTTCACTGTGAAGTCTGATGATGGCTGTGGGTTTTTCATAATTGCCCTTTGAGGGCAATTATGTTGAGAAGTTTCCTTCAATTCCTAGTATTTTGAGTGTTTCCATCACGAAAGGGTGTTGGATTTGTCAAAGGCTTTTTTTCTATCAATCAAGATGATCAGGTGGGTTTTCTTCCTTCTTCCTGTTAATGTGGTATATTACAATGATTGCATTTTCTCATTTTGAACCATTCTTGCATTCCTGGGACAAATTAGACATGTAATTTTAATATAGTTACATTTGTTATTCTTTGATACAGTAATTAGCACTTTTGTGACAATAAGAGGCCTTTTAAAATATTAGCTTATAATCCACTGTAGTTCCATGGGGGAAAGTTGTCCCTGGCCTGGGGCGAACCCCCTGTTCAATTGGTGACATGTGAATAAGTCAAGGGAAAGGATAGGTTGGGGGAAGCTGTTTTTTTTAGTGCTCACAGCTAGCTCGAATCCTCCAGCTGGGCAAGGCCAGGTTTGGGCACCTCCTCGGCTGTTCTCTCTCTGCAGCACTGTGCGCTCTACTTCCTGCCCACCCTTCCAGGAGGAATGCATTGGCGGGTCCTTGGTGACTGGCAGATGCCGGGCCAATTACGTTCCAGGAGCGAGGGAGGAGTGAACGGCTGTTATCTTTGCCCCTTGCGCCAGAGGCCGCGGGAAGCAGCCGCGCTGACCGCATGCTGATGTGTAAACTGACTAAGACCCGGCAGGAGACAGAAATTCTGCAGTTTACCCCACATCCACTTTGCATTTTAAGAACTATTTTCCTCACATGAATTATTTCTCTCTTTAATAGCTTTTCCAGAGACTTCCTTTTACAATATTATATTTAAAAGATGGCAGTTTATAGATTTCTAAGCAACTTCTTTCTGTCAGAGTACAGGCCTTCTGTATCCTCCTGCAATTTAGATAGGTCCTCATATTTAAATGAATTTAAATATTTTTAAAACAGAAAAATATAAAATAGTCTGCTTATTTTCTTTAAAGTTATATACAAGAAACATACAAACTCTAATAAGCTGAGAAAACAATGTAGAACTGCTTGCACGTGGTTCCCAGTGGAGAGAACAGGAGGGTGGAGAGCACTGCTGGTATGGTAAGGAGGGAGGCAGGGTTCCAGCAGACAGCCGGGGAGCGGGAGGCCGGGGACTGGGCACCATCCAGGGGCAGGAACTGCGCTGCTGTAGCAAATAGTGCAGTTAGTGTGGGCTTCTACAGGCTAATAAGTGAATCTAGTGGTTCTTCAGGATGTTCCCACTGAAGATGCCTGGCATGTTGTGTGCTGGCATCTCGAGGCACAGATGGCAACAGTGCTCTTGAGAGGCACCTGCAGGCCTGAGGACAGAGGCTGCAGCACCTCACCCTGCTCCAGAGGTCAGGCTGCAAGCCCCTCCAGTGGCCCAGTCGTTGCTCTTTCACATAAGCTTCTGCCTCAGGACTTGAAAAATCTCACTTAAGGGTTCATTGTTGAAAAGAAGTGTGTTTTTTTACGCAGCAATAGTACGACTCCTTTCAGGTTCCTGGGCGGATTCCAGTGTGTGTGTATATGTGGGAAGGTGTTTTCCCATACACGACACCAGGGCTGGAAAGAAGGTTCAGGTAATTGGATACTCAGTACTTCGGCACTCTCCTCATCTGTTCTGAGCGTTTGTCACTTTCTCCTGCCTTCAGTTGCACTGCTGTGCACATGTAGGGCATTCTTTTCAGATTCCATCCTTTCACAGCTTCATCTGTTAGTGCGGAGTCCTCCTTTCTTATTTCCCATGAGGCATTTGGTTATTGCCTTGCAAGAAAATAAGAAACTGTGGTCATTGCTCCACTGATGACCATTTGATTGATGACTGAGATTTACACCCCGCTGCTCTCTTCCTGTGTCTTTCTGCATGCGTGGTAAACTTCCATTTTAATGTGGAATCACAGTGAACTCTTCCTGAAGACATTTTGGATGTCAATTAAACAGCCTGTGTAGAGCCAACAGTGCCTGTAGCTCACATGAGATGAGTTCCACAGACCTCTGTGGCCTTCAGGCATGCAAAGGGATGAAAAGCACATCGCAGCTTCTTTTGGGGCAGCAGTGGCTGTTAAGGTACTACCAAGTAAGACATCTAGATCTACAGATAGTAAAATAGGACAAAAAGTGTTTTGGGCATTGATTAAATATGGTAAAAGAACTTTTAGAGTTATCCTGTTTCTGATTCTTGAGCTCCTTTTTTTTTCCCTCCTGTGTTCTTCTAAGTGTCTTTATATTAAGGCACTCTCATTATCACAGAAATGAGGTATGGTAGGAAATGGAAAACTGGGGACAAGGAAGAGGTATAGCAAAGGGGTTTAGGGTGTAGGGAAATACATTTTTTGTGGTGCCCCACGTGGCTCTGATATTTTTGCTTAATGGTTCAGAGGAAAACTATAGATTTTGGAAGTCAGACTTGCATGACATGTAGTATGTTTTTCCCCTCCACTTGGTAAGAGTAATCTTCCTATAAAATGACAAATGAAAACTTAGGTTTATAATGGCAGTGTAGAGAAATGCATATTTGTATATCATAATTCTATGTGTAGTACGGATAAAACAGCTTCCCCAGACTGGTTCTCGGCAGGGGTAACCCTGTTTTCAGCTTGCCTAGTGTCCTGTAACTCTCAGACCTTTCTCTTTGTATGTATTCCTTGTCCATGTATACATATTATAGATACTGATTCGTGGGTGGTGGGTGCCTTTAAAAAGAAGCATTGACATATTTGTTTGCCTTGTTCTGCAACTTTTTCTTTCCTTTGCCTGGTATCTGAGGTCTTTTCATGCTAACATAGTTTTCTTTCTTTATAATTGCTGCATAGTACTCCTTAGTTTAGATCAGCAAAGTCTAACAGAACTTACTGTGATAGTGAAAATGTTGCTTGCCGCCCAGTATGGTAGCCACAAGTGGCCATTGAATCCTTGAATTTTGTCTAGTGTGACTGAAGAATGGAATCTTTCATTTAGTTTAAGTTTAAAGAGCTACATGTTTAGATGTTTAAAGCACAAGTTTAAATAAGCCACAGTTTTTTTTTAACTATTTCTCCCTTGATTGGGTATCAGTTTAATTTTTTACTCTTTTAAGGGAAATATTTTATTTTCAAAAAATGTGTAAGTAGTGTTGCATTGAAAATTCTTGTACTTATCTTTCTGGGTACTTGTATAAATTTTTCTGAGATATATTCAGAAGTAGAATTGGTTGGTTGACACGTACATTTTTAATATTTTAATAAATGTTGCAAAAATTGCAGTTTTCTGAAAATTTAATATTTTAATATAATAAAAATCTCAGTTATCTGAGGGGGCTGTATTAATTTATGTGAGCAATACATATATTTCTCTGTGCCCTTAATTTTGCCAATTTAATGGGAAAAACAGTACTATATTATTTGAAGTTTTTACTTTACTGATTTCTGGCATGATTGAACATCTTGTCATTTTGTTTTTTGTGGGGGGACAGAATTTCCCCCATCTAAAATAGTGTTTTATCTTTTTGCTCTGGTTTTGAAATTGCGGCATGATGTGTCTGAGGTGGATCTCTTTTCCATTCATCCCACTAGATACACAGTGGGTCCCTTTTATTCTCTGGAAGTTTTTTTCCCCCTATAATTTGAGTATTTCATCCCTTGTATTTTTTTCATTCTCACCTTTGGTAACTGTTAGATGTTGAAAATGTTGAATGTAGTCTCTGTATTATTTAACTTTTCTTTTTTTTGAAGTTTTGCATTCTCATTTACCACTTTGTGGGAAAATTCCTTGGCTTGATTTCTCACGTTTGCTCTTGGTCTGTGTCCATTCAGCCTGCTAGCTACCAAGTTTCTTATTTGGACCATAATAACTTCCACCTCCTAGGTTTCCTTCTGGTTCCTTTTCATAACAACTCGTTCTTTCTTGATGCGTTTGGTTTCCTGTTTTAACTCCTGGGGAGAAAATAAAACTTTTTTTATTAAACAGTCCTTTTCTTCTACAACCTCCTTTCTTATTTGCTCTATTAACTGTTTCCTCGGTTGTTATTTCTTCTCTTGCCTGGGTTGAGTGCTGTCTGATGATGTTTGATAAAGCAGGGAATTATGTAAAACAGTTTAGAAAGACTTCCAGCAGAAATGAGGAAAATGCCTAAATGAAAACCATCTTTGCCACCTGCTCCTTGATTCTGTGGGGTCAGTTAGGTTTTTCTGTGGAGACTTCTGATCCATATGGTTATGCTGGATATAATAAAGCCTTCTTTAAATTAAATCAGTTTTTTGTTTGTTAACTAAGTATTATTTAGTGTGTCCCTTGTGCTAGGCATTGTACAAAGGGCTAGATGTTATTAAGTGCTTATATTGAAATTCATTGATCTAGCATAATTGTGAGGGAAAAAAGTGAGGACATGTTTGAATAGAAGAATATGACTTAATGAAGTGATTAAATTTCAAAAATATAGTTTGAAAATAGTGCCAAGATGAAGTTAGAAACAATAAACCACAGTTTGACTTAAAGATAGTTCTGTCTGCTAACCTCTCAGAAAGTGGTAACAGGTATTTCTTCAGTTATAATCATCACTAGCACAGACCACTTCAAATGTTCAACAGTGAAAGACTTCAAGACAGACTGATATTTTCATATTTACATAAGGGCTTTTAATATCTTTATGAAACAGCACTGGTCTGATTGTCCTTTAACAAATAGGTGTTTCTATATGCCTTGATGGAGATAACATTAGAGAGCCATTTGTTTGGACCACACTAATTTGGAATTTGACAGTTACCTTGGATTCAGGTTAGACTGATATCATTTTTTGCACAAGGAAATTACATGTAACTGGGATTCATAAAAGGATTTCCTGTTGATCTTACAAAAACATCTGTATACCACATGTCAGTATTTGCTGATACATAGATAGGAACTATTCATCCATTAGCCCTACCTTTTCTTAAAAGAAGTTTGTGAGGCTCCCACCTTGACATTTTTTTCCTGGGTAGGCGATTATTCATTTTCCAAAGGAGACATTCACTTTGAACTTTCTCTCTTTTTGGGAAACTTTCAAGGCATCGGGTGGTCTTTTTGAGTCTGTGGGAATGTCCCTTCTTACTGATTGTTGGGGTTGGTGTGAAGAACCTGTAGAGGCCTGGCAGTAACCCTTGACCTCTCGTCTGTCACAGATCCCGGATTACAGGAATGCGGTGATTGTGGCCAAGTCTCCAGCCTCAGCCAAGAGGTAGGTGGGAACTCAGGACTGCTCCTTGGATCCACATCCGGGGATCACATCCTGATCGGATCTCAGGTGCTCTGGATTCTACCTCAGTTGTTCCCATTGGGGGCCCACATTTTATTCTGTGGATGCATGGTTTAAAAGATGGTCTGCCAACTGCATTTGTTAAGTGATGATTCATTTTCCTCTTCTTTTCCCAATCCCCATCTGTGACCGCCTGTCACATTTCTTGACGAAGGCCATCTGGGTCTGAGGCATCGTGACCTAGTGCTTCCTTGGTCCCAGATTTGCGGCTACTTGTCGATCATCCGATCTGCCATTTAAAAGAGCAGCAAATATTTTTTGTAGTTCTTGATTGCCTCCTATTCCAAGAACTTGGTAATTTATTAACAGAATTGTATCCAGACATGAGGCTACTGATTGGTTTGTGTTGAAAGGTGACACTTTATAAAATCAAACCGCCCTGAGGCTTACAAAATGGGGCACTGTTGAGAGTTACATGCAACCTGGAGCAGCTGATGAGTCAGTTATAATAAGGCTTAAACTTGTGTGTGGATTGAGAGGATTTCATATACCAATGTTTTCCAATGAAGCCACTTCATTGGAGAGGGAAAGCCAAATGTAGGGAGAGGCTTTTTCCTAAAAAACCTTGCTTAGAATGATAGGCATACCTCAGAGATAATATTGTGAGTTCAGTTCCAGACCACCACAGTAAAACAAGTATTGCAATAAGCCAAGTCAGGTAAATTTTTGGTTTCCAAGTGCATTTAAGAGTTATATTTACACTGTAGTCTGTTAAGTGTGTAATAGAATGATGTCTAAAAAAAATGTACATACCTTAATTAAAAAATATTCTATTGCCAAAAAATGCTAACCATCATCTGAGCTTTCAGTCAGTTGTAATCACCTATCTGAGATCACCATAACAAATATAATAATAATGGAAAAGTGTGAAATATGGTGAAAATTACCAAAACGTGATACAGACACAAAGTGAGTAAATGCTTTGGAAAAATGTTGCCAGTAGACTTGCTTGACCCAGGGTTGCCACAAACTTTAAAAAATGGACTCCTTGAGAAGCCCCGTAAAGTGAAACTCAATAAAAAGAGGTGTACCTTTTTCCCACAACTGAATGCCTTTGCTTCTGGCATCATTGTTGGGTCCTGTGGAATGAAAGAAAGCATAGGTGTCTCTGGTGAGTCTGTGTAAAGACAAAGGAGAGCTTGCACATGGTAAACCATCCTTTAAAAGATATTATAGGTAAGTAGTTTTCCAGTATAAATTACGAGTAACATTTAGTATATTAAATAAGGTTGGCATTTGTGATAAAACCATGAACTCATCATGTTCTCAGAACCATCATCCTAGAATAGCGAGGGCTATGCCCATACACACTTCCTTCCAGAAGCTTTATCGGAGTCTCATTGTCAACTTGATTAAGTTATAGTAAAGAGTGACTTGTTTTGGATCATAAACATTTCAAACAACTTCTCCAAACATTTGTGCAAAGATTGGATAAATTTTTAAAAATTAAGGTAAAAATCACAAAACATAGAATTAGCCACTAAGAGTATACAGATCACTAGCATGTAGTTCATTTACAGTGTTGTGCAATGACCACCTCTCTCTAGTTTCAAAACTTTTGTAGCATCCCAGAATCCCCCATCTTCATCAAGTAATTAGTCTCCATTCCCTTCTCCCCACTGCCCCGGGCAACCACTCATCTGCTTTCTGTCTCTATGGATTTGCCTATTGGAGATATTTCATATTAATGGAATCATACACTGTGTGGCCTTTTGTGTCTAGTTTCTTTCACTTAGCAAAATATTTTAAAGGTTCATCTACACTGTAGTATGTATCAGCAATACATTCCTTTTTTTTTTTTTT